GTGAGGAGGAAGGGGAATAACTCACTTAAGTTTTTTTCAGACCTGAAGAAGACGTTTAAAACATTGAAACGTTGTCTGATATTTAGTGAATAAACAAATAGAAAAACCAATACAAATCAAAAATATCAACGATTATACTGTCAGACTTATCGAGCTCGTACATTAAATAGAATGGGCATACTTTCTCGGTCAAAATATTCTACGTTCGCAGATTCATTGCTTGAGACGGCATTCTCTTCTGTATTTGTTGAAAAATATCCAGTGATTGCTCTTGCTGCACGACTAATGAAATCACTCTTATTATTATCGACCGTTTTTGGATTTAATTGATTGCAAAATTCCTCGTACACATGTTTTTGTTGTGCTAATAATACAAATGATATTGTAATATTTTTCTTTAAATTTCTTAATTGAGATTTTGTTTCGTTTATCATTGTATCAGCAACTACATTTGCAGAACAACCAAAATTACCACATCCCAATGCTGGAAATGAAATACTTGAATAATTCTTATTGGATACATATTGAATGGCATCTGATACAAAATCAGATATCGATTTTCTTAATAGAGCATCATTGTTGCATGGTTGCCAAGATTGAAAAAGTATCATTTTACATTTTAATGAACCAGCTGATATTGCAATTTGTTTCGATGACGCTGCTGCAATTGCTTGATATTCGTTTAATACCTGGTTACCAGCAACATTGACAACTGCATCACACAATTTCGTTGATGATCGACAGAGAACAATCACATCAACCTAATGAAAAAAAATGATAATATAGCAAATAATGAAAGATTAAAATAAACGTACCGTTTCTGTTGTTAAATCTCCAAAACGTATATCAATAGTACCATTAGCTTCCTTTAGACTACTTCTTGTTGCTGTCGTTATTGATTCAGGTACAAGTGCGCCTGGAGAAAGTAGATCTGACAATTGAATATTATCATTCGTTTCTGCACTCGGTGCTAATTCTTCAACATTTGCTTTTGGTATTGCAATGGGTATTTTTTGTGTTTCAATTTTTGTTTCGATATAGCATGAGTATCTATTTGCTATGTCAGTTAATAAATATTCTTGATTTTGAATCAGTACACTAAATCCCAATGGTTCTCTGATATCAAATTCCAATTCAGATGTTCGTGCATATTCTAGCAGACGTTGTTTTAAATGTTGTTCATAAATACTAACAGGTGCTAAGATAGATGAATGTTCAATATTTGATAAAATTTGAACACCATCATCTTTATGTTCTGCTTCCAGCGCTTGCAGTTCGTTGACGCGCACATTTAATAAATATTTGATCTAAAAACAAGGTATAACGATATTTAAGCTCAAGCAAAAAACACCTACGGAGAAAATCCAGATACATTTCGTCTGTAATCGTACGATATACGACTAGTTGTCATTTAGATTACTAATACCGGTGCCAAAATTCAATGCAGTCGGTTGTTTTTCGAATAACTCTGAAACAATAAGAGACAGAGACTTGCGATTTCCAACAATCGAAAGAAGACAGTTCAATCTATGTTTTCATAAGCAAAATCCTTTTCCGAAACCATTTGGAAGATCGGTTTTCTAGGAGATCTTTAGAAAACCAGTTCGGATCTCCGAAAACTGAGCTAGTAATCTGTAAGTTTTTTCCATAGATAGATAGTCCAAAGTGTCCTCTCCGAAATGCGAACCAAGCGAACTCTTAAGTTTCCCCGGTTCAGGCGTGGCATCGGATTTCCTGAGAGTCCCAGGACCAAGGTTGTTTTAGGTGTCGTAATTTCGAAAATAATGGAAACATAGGTAATCAACCACGTTGAATCTCGTGGCAATATTTGTTTTTCAGGAAACCTCCCATAACCTAGTGAAATCCTATATTAGGTGAAAAACCGCATTTTTGCCTATTTTTGAGTATAATTAAAAAATTCATAATCCAGTCAAGATCCATCGAAATTATGTCAGAACATCAAGATGTACTCTATTTTACCTGCTCAATACTATGCAGTTCAATAAATGATTTAAAAGTCAACAGAAAATACTTCGGTTTTCGAAATGATTGTCTAGATATCTTCCGAAGTAGAAGAATGGTTTTTACTATTCTCAAGTAAAAAATCATATTGATATAAT